AATAAACTGTGTTGTATGTTTGTCATGTATGATTGAATGTAAGTTAGTTTCCGTTCACTGTTTGTTCGTTCGTCTTGAATGTTTGCCTTCTACGTTCATCGTTCGTCTTGAATGTTTGCCTAATTGCAAGTGTACTTTTCAGTGATTATGCTGGATTGCACAGCGAGAAGAATGACTGACAGACATCTTCTGCTGCATCATTTCTATGTTTTGTTCGTCGTTATTTTAGTCACTCCTAACCAGTTTAAATAAAAACGTTTGTATGTTGGTTTATTAGATATACAAATGTACACATATTTGTGTACTTTGTTGCACTTTGTTGCACTGCTGATGCATACGTGTATGTATAATAAGTACACACACACACACACATACACGCAGGCACACACACAAACAAACACAAACAGACACAAAAACGCACGAACACACACACATATTTGAAAGCATCAGCTTACGACCATGTTTGTTTTCATGTTTCTCAACAATTGTTCAAGCCGTTCGGCTGTCCATGCTAATAAATTCTTCTGTTTTAAACTGAAGGAACATGCCTGTCACATGAAAGAAAGCCATCATCATCGTCATCATCATAATTATCATCACCATCATCATTATCATCAACGCTCCAGCATCATCATCATCACATCATTTTCTCATCATATATTGTCATCATTATCTTTATTACCGAGATCATCATCATCATCGTTGTCTGATGATCATATGGTCATCGGCATCATCATATGGTCATCATTATTGTAAGCATCGTGGTCATCACCATCATTATTATCATCACCGTCGTCATCATTAACGACGACATATTGTTACCATCATCTGATTATAATGATGATGATGGCAAGAATGTCATCATCTGATCATCATCCTCTGATCATCATCCTCTGATCATCATCATCTGATCATCATCATCTGATCATCATCCTCTGATCATCATCATCTGATCATCATCCTCTGATCATCATCATCTGATCATCATCCTCTGATCATCATCATCTGATCATCATCCTCTGATCATCATCATCTGATCATCATCCTCTGATCATCATCATCTGATCATCATCTTCTGATCATCATCATCTGATCATCATCCTCTGATCATCATCATCATCTGATCATCATCCTCTGATCATCATCATCTGATCATCATCCTCTGATCATCATCATCATCTGATCATCATCCTCTGATCATCATCATCTGATCATCATCCTCTGATCATCATCATTATATTGTAGTCATCGTCGTCGTCATTCAATCTTCTCTCCCTTACTCTTACTGGTGGCGATGAATTGAAATATAATGACGTCATCGTCCATTCCATGTTATGTGATGTCATATGACATTAATGTGAGGATATGTGATGCTAAATGTCATTAATGTGATGTTCTTTAGTGTTATATAGCATTAAGGTTGTGTTTTGTAATGTTAAATGACATTAATGTTATGTTATGTGATGTTAAATGACATTGATGTTATGTTATAAGGTGATATAACATCAAAGTGATGTTATACTGATGTTTTAGAAAGACGGTAATCTGATATGATGTCATATATAATGTACGTATTTACGTAAAAAAGATGTTATGATTTAGTGCTTCGTAAAATTGATGTTATAGTTTACTGTTATATAGAATGATGTTATGGTATAATGGCTCATGGTCAACAAAGAAGTGAATGCTCCTAAATTTTTCAAAATAAAAACATTCTTTCTTGTCAAGTCCTTCATAAATTCATTGCCAACAAATAAAATAGAATCAGCAAAAAGGGCAGTGCTGATGTTTTATTTTTATTTTATAAGTCAGCTACCTTGTAAAAGTTGAAAAAATTTAAAAATTGACGAATTGAACAGTTTTTTTGATGTTTTTTTTAAACCATTTAAAGGAACAACAACGTTTCAACATGTGAAGGGCAGAGTTGAAAAACAAATTTCTGTGAGCAAAGATGCAGGTAACTGTGAAAAACTTAATTTTAAATGTCAAACTACCCCACGCATTTAAGAGAACGCGCTATACTTTGAGAATTGAAATAATCACAACAAAAATTATATACCGTCTTGACGTCCAAAAGTATAGGCTATTCGAGTATCGATTTCTTCTTGCCTAAAATAAATAGCATGGTCGATAAGAAACTCGAGACTGATGCCGTTGCCAGTCGGTTATTTCATTCCAAATCCTAGAATTGTGAAATGTAATAACTTGTAAGATGCATAAGGACGTGCCAACTTACGCTGTGATGCGATTTAATGTAATGTCATAGGATGTGATCTGATGGGATATAACGTAACGTAATAGGCCTTAATGTTATATGTGATAATGTGAAATGTATGTATATATGGGGTAAACCATATGTAACTTATTGTAACTTTAAGTATTAAAATTGGTGTAATATAGTAAAATATGATGCGATGACTTGTGATGTGAAATGTATGTATATATGGGGTAAACCATATGTAACTTATTGTAACTTTAAGTATTAAAATTGGTGTAATATAGTAAAATATGATGCGATGACTTGTGATACAGTACAATGCTACACATTTACATGTAATTTGATGTCAAGTGGGGTAAATAATCCCATGTAAAACAAATTTTTATCGTAAATTTTCATGTAATTTGATGTAACCTGATGTAAGGTTCTTAAGGGGAATCCACAAAAGATTTAAAGTCTCCTGCTAGATTGACGTATTAAATTGTGCTAAGAAGCTTACGTGTGTTTGTGTGTGTATGTATTCATGTATGTGTGTATGTATGTATGTAGTATGTGTGTGTGTTTGTGTGTGTGTGTGTGTGCGTCTCTATGCATGCATGTTCTATGCACTAGGAAATGCCTTAAATCCCTTTCAATGAAAAATACCTCATCTCTCATATGTATAGACACACACAAACACACACACACAAACACACACATATATCATACTAGATATATATTTCTTTATGAGTGAAGTGAATATTTATATAATTTTTAAACACCATTTAACGAAAAGTTTAAAGCTTAATATTTTAACAAATTATTATTATTTATTTACCGCAATTTTATTATAAAGTCATCATCCGCAATTTTGGTTCTTTTGATATTAATATCTTGACACCCTGTTGTTTTTTCCTTATTTAAATTTTAACGGAAGTAAAAAGACCAGTGACGTCATATACTCATTTCAATTGATTTTGGGATATCCTAAAAATTGAATGAGATTGAGAGATGGGTACCAATAAATGAAATATAATGACGCGATCCCTTTAAGGTCAGCGTTAAGGTCAAGTGCTATATTTCAATTCCTGTGTGTGGTTCAGTGATTGTCATTGTGTCGTAATGAAACGTTCGTTATAATGAATTTGTTATTGGCCTTTGCTGCTTGGCTGATGTTACAAATATTATGTACGTATCAACACAAAAAATAAGTTTTCCAATGTTTCATGCATACATTTTGAGTTTTAATAGTTTTAATAACCCTAGGCCTGAAAGAAATTAACCAATTAAATAAATAATTCAATTTTTAATTTATCCATTCATGATTTATTCATTCATTTCATCAATTAATTAAGTCATTCATTCATTAGTTCATTCATTCACTCACAATAATTTTTTTACTTTTATAAGCTATATTTGTAAAAAAAATAATTATAATAATTAATCCGTCTTAAACTGATATCAATAAAAGGTATAAATTAATTTTGGAAATTGAATAATTAATAAATTTTTTTTTTAATAAAAACACCTAATTTAGAATGCGTCAACTCGAATATGACGTCACGTGTTTATGTTTACAAATAAACATGCCTACACACGTGTATAAATATGAGGCTATGTAAAACAATAATCTTGTATCTTGTAAAACAATAACAATAATCTACTATAATTTGTGAATATATTGAAAAATTTGTTTGAGTGGATAAAGCAATTATTAACCAAGAAATCGACATGGGTTTCACGGATGCAATGTGGAATCTACTTGAATGTGCAGACAAAAATTATTGTTCCCCCTCAATAAAAATTATCAAATTCCAAATTTGAAAATATGTTCCGGCAAATTGCAGGTTTTGTGTAATTGATGGCGGGTTAGTAGGCAGGCTTCAGGTAATTCATTCTTTTTAACTATAACCAATGACCATTTAGCAAAATTTAAGATTGGCGATTTGGGTAGCCAAGATAACGTAAAAATTTGAAAGTTTATCGCTACTATAATTTGTGAATATATTAAAAAATTGAAAAAAAGATAAAGCAATTATTAACCGGGAAGGAATTCGAGATAAGTTTCAAAGATACATTGTGGAATCTACTTGAATATGGAGACGAAAATGATTGTTTCCTCCTTTAACAAAAATTATCGCTTTCCAAATTTGAAAGTATGTTCCGGCAAATTGCAGATTATGTATGATTGTTATTTAGATAAAAATGATTGTTTAATTCAACAAGTGAGGAGTGGGCGCGGGGTATATGTGGTGGGCGCGAGGGAATAAAGTCAAGAAGGAATTCGGGAAAAGTTTCGATGATTGAACCTACTTGAATGTAGAACCTAGAATTATTGTTCCCTTAAAAATTACCGTTTTCCAGATTTAAGAATATGTTCAGGCAAATTGCAAGATATGTAAGAATGATAATGTGTTAGTAGGAGGGCGTCAGGTATTCATTTTTTCTATATTTGAAAATATGCTCAGACAAACAGTATAAATTGAATCAGGCAAGCTAGATTATATCGCTATTTACTTTTTGTATTGGAAATAATTTTAATAAAAATTATAAAAATCAAATTTTTGCAAGCCCATTAATTACTCTTCAGCACAATTTTTGTCAGCTCATTCTATTTAATCATTATTAATGCAAGTTATATTGTGGACATTGTCCTTGTTGACAACATCATCAAACTATCCACATTCTCATCATAATCGTCATCTTCATCGCTACTAGAATCATCAACCTCATCGGATCACCATCACGCCATCATTATCATCAACATAGGCATCACCATCATCGTCGTCACCATCTTCAAACTTTACATATCTAGCAGCTTCAGCCTCATGTTGGTCGCCTTCATCGGAACGATGGTGACGTCGTTTGTGGCTACGTTGCTGACGTAAGAGGCCATGCTTTCATTCATTCTCTTTATCTTCATTTCTTCGATCTTTCGTTCCATTTCTAGTATAGCTTCCGTTTTGCGCGGGAGATTTGTTGATGATCGTTTTTTCGTTTCTGACCTGTGTTAAAATGTGTGCATGTGTGTGTTTTAACGTATGTATTATATTTCAGTGAATGTTTGCGTATTGAATCAATCAAAAAGAACGACTGAAGTAAATAAAAACTTCAATTGAGCCATCCTTGCAATTTCATTTCTATGCTCGGCTATTTGTTCTATGGTCTGTTGGATTGATAGTTCTTTGTTTTGTTTGTTGTTGTTTATCTCCATCCTTTTCGTCTGCAGCCATCTTCTTTGTTCTTCCTGCATCATCTTCAACCTTTCGCGCAACTGATCCAACACATTGTTTAAAGTATGTTTACACAAATATTCCATACACATTTGAATATGTCTCCGCACACGTACTCATACCCACTTGTTATAATTACTTTCACAATTGCAGAATACAATTCCATGTAGGAAAATCAACATTAGGTTGTATGCAAAAACAAAAGCGAAACCTCCATAATGGACATTTCCGTGTGCAGACCGCAGCCAGACGTCTCGTAGAGGTCGACGTCCTTGACCCTACTTGCCCTGTTGCTTTCAAGTTCACGTATCTTGCGTATCAACTCCAATCTCTGTTTCATTTCCTCTTCCGCTTATAAGAAGGGAAAATTTAAATAAGAAAGGGATCATCTGTTGCTATGTGAATATATATGGTGACAATGAAGACGATGACTATGATGAAAATAAAATGACGAAGATTGTTGTTAGTTAGAGGGGTTAGAAATATGATAATAATAACTTTAAAATTTATGGGAAAATTTTTTTGCAATAGTGATATTAAAAACAATGTTAATAACATATACAGCAACAATAACAGCAACGACAGTAATAATAACAAAAACACCAACACTAATATGCAGATATGTAAATGTATGTATAATAATAATATCAATATGGACGGCATTTACAACGTTGTTGACGATCAAAATGCTGATGACAACTATGACGGCTGGGATGATGATGATGGTTGCAATGAGTGCCAGATGATAATGATGATGATGATGATTGCCAGATGATGATGATGATGATTGCCAGATGATGATGATGATTGCCAGATGATGATGATGATTGCCAGATGATGATGATGATGATGATTGGGATGATAGTGTCAGACGATGATAGAGCCTCTGAATAAAGAAGGATGTACGAAATGTTTATAATGAAGAATAAAATTTTATGGCGCTGAGTGCTTTCGTCAAATGAGGTTTGATTTCCTTGGATTCCATCTAACAGCCACTCATAAAAAAATCATTCTTTCATTTTTTGCGCTCCGTCAATTATCAATTGAATTTAAATTTACATGTGTGAGTTGCATGTTTGTGCGTGTGTACCTGCCCACACACACACACACACACAACACACACATACATACACACACACATCAGTGATAAATGTTTAAACTCAAGCAGGTTTAAAAATAAAGGAAATAATAATAAAAATGAATGTGGGTTGAGATATGAAAATTTAAATTAAAAATCAAAGAATGAATGAAACGTTTCGAAAAAAACTGTAAGTAGTAGCTGGATGGATGAATGAATGATGGAAGATTTAGACGAAAACGAGTGAACAAAATATTAAAAACAATATTCTAAATAAAAAGTGAATGAAGGATGCCAATGGATGAGTAGAAAAATAAACGAATGGGTTAATAATATTAAATAAATAAATAAATTTCTTATCTCTTCAAGGGCAGCCCTCATCAGTTCCTTCATTTCTTCTTGCACTGACTGCACCATCTTCGCTTTCAGCTTCACCATCTTCAGGCGAGCTTCCTTCGAATCAAACATTATCGACTTTACCTTTCCGACCTTTTTTCTTTATAGTGGAAATTTTAAATTATTCAGATGTGAACAATTTGTGGTTTTATGGCACAGTAAATGTCACAGGAATTGTCAAATAAATCTTTCTAATGATTTGCAAACGAATTCAACAAATGTTTATACAGAGGCGACCAATAAGGTAACAAATGAAACAACCAGCGAAACAAACAGTAACCTCATCTTTTCCTCTTCTTTCAACTTTCTCACCATAAATTCTTGCATGAGAAGAGCTGCCTAAAAATGTTGTGAAGTAAAATTGTCGAATGTAGCAAAAAAAAAAAATATAATTTTCATCCATTTGGAATATTTTTAATAATTTTGTCGTTCATTCGGCATCATCCTCTAAATAGATGCCACCTCTAAATCATAAATCTGAACAAAGCTTCTGCAACAAGTTTTTCCTGCGATGACTTGTAATGGCTTGATTCAAGAATTTGTTATTTATTGTAGAAAGCTATTGAAAGTGGGCAGAAAATTTAAGAAATAAAATAAAGTAAAATGTTACAATTTTATAAAAATGACATATCAGTCGAGCGAAGTTCAGGAGTTTGTGTTTTAAGTTCTGTGACTTCGAATACTAACAATAAAAGAACTTCTAATTTATTATAACAATTAAATATGTAATAATAACAACAAGTACAACACAAAGTACGTACTACAAGAACTACGCATAACCTCTCTTCTCATCTCCTCAACTTTCTGCTTGTTATCTTCAACTGCCTTCTTCCTAGCGGCCAATGATTGCTCCTGGCTCAACTTGCCAGCCAGTCGTAGCAGTTCCGTCATTTCGTACCTTTTTTGCTCTTCCTCTTCTTGAATCCTCTGCTGCCATTGGTTGAAATCACACAAGTCTCTTCCACCCGTTTCTAAATGATTCAAGCTTGAATCGGAAAATAATTTTTTATATTTATAAAGTTTATTTGTAACAAATTCCGTGATAAATTTTAAAAGTGCATGTAAAACAAAAAAAAAAACAATTGCTTATGCGTTTTACTACTGATATGGTTAACGGCGAGATTGTGTAATATAGTTAAAACGTTTGATCAGCCGCTGCAGAGGCTGATTGTTAATACATGCTGAAATGTAGTGGAATGTAGATGTAATGTAAATGGAATGTAGGCTGAAAAGAAATGGGATGCGTTGATTCAAGTGTGCATATTCACATGTGCTACGTATGTGACGTTAATATTTTTGAGTAGTCTAGGAAGAGACTATTGCAGTTGTTCGTCAGCGTTTTAACGTTTCAGAAACTAAAACTATTCTATAAAAATAATGCGAAACAGGTCTTACGTACAATTAATAGTTATTTACACACAACTATCAATTTATCATTTCTTTTTTTAAATCTGAGAAGATGAAGAAGTTCATTACTACCATTACGATCAAGACTTTATAAATCTGTTACACGTCCGGTGTTGTTATATGGTGCAGAAATAATATTATATTAGAGATCGTCTAATTTGGCACAAAAAGTTGATGGCAAAGAGAACAACGTCTTACCTCGGGAAACCGGGTCTCTGGACGCAAAACGAAGATAGATTGATTGATTGATTGATTTTTTTTAAAAAAATGATAAATTATTTATAACTATTTATATTAATAACTATAGTAAGTTGAAACTTATTAATTATTAGTAATTAAATTAAAAGTTGAAACATAATTAAAGTAATTAAAAGTTGAAATGAACTTCTTTATCTTCTCCGATTCCTTCTTTTTGTAAAGATGACCTTCCCTCAAAATAGCTGTCGTCGTCATTCTGATCGGTTTCGCCTGATGAAAGTTAAATAATTGTTATTCAGGGTTTTTATTATATTATTATTTTATTATTATATTATATTATTATTTTAATATTATATTATTTTATTAAATATTGAAAAAAATTTCACAATTCCCTCTTTAGTATTTTCCATAGTATTTACAATCCCACATTGCACGTGAAACAGTGCATCACACGCATTGAATGCATGTAATAGGTGAAGATCTCTTGGCATTCAAACCCGGTCACTGCGACAATAATGCCAGGCAGCTTAACCATTACACTATCGCGCCTGTCTTTAGTATTATTCATCTGTTCTGTCATTCTGTCAGACTGTTATATATTATGCAATTAAAATTTTAACGAAATATAATTTATTTAATCTGCCCTCATCACGTGACATAGGTGACATGACAACTTGCCGGCATTTTGTTCCTAATGACGAAATTGAAATTACTGTTAACATTTTCGTCGTTTTCGTTGATATTATTATCGTTAATGTTGTTATTGTTGTTGTTATTATTATTAGTATTTTGGTTGTTGCTGTTTTTGTTGTTTTGGTTTGAAATGTCAGAGCGTAAGGCACAGTTTAATGATTTCACTTTCTCGTTCTGTTGAATGTGAAAATTATCATTTAATACGTTACGTAGTTCATTGCACGTCGCTAGGTGTAGTAAATGCAGTACGTTACTGAACAGAATGCAAATGTATCAATATAATACTGAGTGTCATTGTCAACTGTTTGTAATTGTTTTCAATAGGCTAATGCAATATATTATACGACATATCACACTGAAAAATAGCATTGCTATCGACAAGTAAATAAAAATTTAATTAAAAAAAACAAAAAAACGACAAACAATTAAATAAAATAATAATAATAAAATTGTGGTCTCACAAATAATGCCCGCCATCTGTTTATCTTCTGCAGTTCTTCGGAGTTGGACTGTGTTCCAGCTGAGTTCGTGTTATCAATCTGTGTTGTGTGTGTGTGTGTGTGTGCGTGCGTGCGTGCGTGTGTTTGTGTGGTGTGTGTGTTTATTTATTTTTATTTGTTTTATTTGTATGTGTGTGTTTGTGTGTTTATGATTTGTTCTATTCATGAATTATCTAAATTAATAATTATGTGAGCGTATAAAATTTACCATTTTTGATGAAATGATGACGTCATCGAGACAGAAGTGACTGGACAGTTTCTCTTCAATTTTGAATGATTGAGTTGAGAATTCAAAAAAAGTAAAGCTACTTAACAAAACAGTCACCAAATAAATTCAAAAACAAAAACTCGTAAATACTGAATCTAAAACCGAATGTGCGAATCATAAAATGAATAAAAGAATAAATTATGTGTGATGTACTTTTAGCAGACTTCAATTTCCTCTGCGACGAGCAGAGCTCCTCGAGAATGTTACACATTTGAACATATTCCAACAAATATCTATAAGCAAATCATTGAAAACATTTACTGAAACCGTATCGAAAAAAGTATAATCTATTAAACATGATTACATATGCAAGAAAGTCACAAGAATTGATTTTAAACATTTATTGTTAAAATTAAGTGTATAAAAATGAATGAATGATACTTGAGCAGTGGATACAACAGGACATCATCGACCCAATCGTCATCCTCTACACGTTCGTACCACCCTTCAACTATCCAACCACTCAGTGATTTCTCATTGAGAAAAAACTTCAAAAACTATGAACAAAATGAAATTTACTTCAAATAAATGATTTTAGACATCTGACCATAGAATGTTGGCGTATGAATTGAACTATAGTACATAAATATTTGCGTCATTCAATATAATTTCACCCATGTAACTTATAATAAACGTTTAACGTCAATGCCGTTCCTAGTTGTAGGTAAAGCTTACAGTGGAAAAAGTACGGTAGGACCATTTTCAAATATTTCTAACAATAAATAAAAAATTTATCGACCAAATTGTCTAATCGGATTTTTTCTGTTTTACTTTCCAATTTTTCCAATTCTAGCTTTACTAGAAGCCAAAACAGCGTTGACATAAAAATTTCTATGGGAAACTTCTAAATAGCATATGAAAATTGATTTTTTGAGTGAGATCTATATGATCTCCAAACTAGAAAAATATGAAAAAACTCCTCCAGCTCAATGACCATGTGCTATACTTCAATTTCTATACTAATAATCTTCGAGGAAAAGTTATTTTTGGAAAATTTTCATACAAACCTTAATAATTTTAGCAGGCTTGGTAGACATCAAAATGAAATCGGACAGCAAATGATGGTTAATCTCATCATGTCTCAGCAGTAGTAGATATGCAAAAACTGTTTTCAATGACAAAATTATGATTTAGAGAACATGAAAGATATATTATATAATAATAAAATTTAATCAATTATTAAACATCATACATTTTAAATAAATTTGATTAATTGAAATAACTTTTGAAAGTTAGTCTGTCAGATGGTAGGGCGGTGATTTCTTCATCATAAAATCCATCAAGAATGACGTTTAAAATGTTGGAATGTTCCATGCAACCGATGACCAATTCGAACAAAAATGTTCTCGCTTTGTCTTCAAACGTCTGCAGCCAATCAAGGAAATCATTTTATACCGACGTCATTTACTCATTAGTGCTATTTATGCAAACAACAAAAGATTGAATCACTGAATCAGCAATCCCATAGCATTGTATTTCACTGTTAATACTTCTTTTGATTCTCGTGTCTACAAGTTTAACTAATGCTTCTAGGTTTTCATTTTCATTTACGTTTTCATGTGCGTGCGTGTTGTGTGCGTGTGTGTGTGAGGCATACACGAACAAAAACAAAGTAAAATATGTGAATTTAAGTAAAGTTAGTGATCACAATAAGAGTAAAAAATGATTTAAATAATCTTAACATTTTAAATATTTTTTATATTTATTTGAACTGAAACATGGAGACAAGTTGCTTGACTTACGCTTGTGAAGTGGAGTATCTCCTCGAGGTCCTTGCTGTCAACATCATCTTTTTCGTAATGCTGTAAAATCTCAACAGAGTAATTAACAAGATCTTGAAAGCTAAACTCATTCATTTCGTTAATAAATAGAAAAATAAATTACAGCACCAAAATCAAAAAATAAATATGCACTCATTCACAACGACTTAAACACACAAACACTTTAGATATAAATAAGGTATAAAAAGAAACATATATGGTATAAACATGACGATATATATATATATATATATATATATATATATATATATATATACATATATATATGTATATATATATGAACATAATATATAATGGTGTAAACAAAACTGTTGCCATGGCAATAAATAAAAAGATTCACTTTTAAACACTTTTCAGTGAAACAGCTGATGAGATGTATAAATGGCAGATTTAGCACACATTTTTAACAAAAGTTCCTTATCTGAGTAGTTAGTTAACAACACAGACAAACGCTTAATAAGTATTCATTTTTAATTTTGTTTTATTTTTCAACTATTGAGAACTTTAAACTTTTATTTTATTATCTGTTGTTTTCAAATTCAAGCGTTTGTTTTGTTTAAACTTTAAAAGAACACGCGTTTTGCGATTGCTTGGTAGCAGATATTCTGGATAATGTATCTAAGTCACTGCATGGCAATTTTCCTGATTTTTTCATGCAATGGAAAAATAAAAAGTTAGTTTTGATTTAATCCTTGTAAAATTTGAAAATTCATAAGACATAATTCATAAAATCATAATTTATATGAAATAATTCATAAAATCATTTTCTTCGATGAATGTTTCAAATATCTTGACAAAAATAAGAAAAAATTTAGATATTTTAATTTTGAAGGTTTTAAAATTTATGTCGAATTTGGTGAGCTGAGCCAGTACTGCTGCGAAAACACATTCCAAGAATCATCGTTGCACTTACCACATTTGTTAATGGCAGCAAGAAATTTTGCGTCCGTCAACTTCACCTGGCAACCACAAATAGTGGTTGACAGTAAGCCATTCAGGAAATACAATGTAAATCTTTTCATTTTACTGAATTGCTTTCACTTTTATCAGCTGGACATTAAATAAATGTTTGTCTTTCTATATTTTGTTAAATATTTCAGCTGAAGATATGTAAGAAATACATCAACCTCTGTCTCGACGATAAGAACCTACGCTACCAGTACGACCATTCAAGTATTAATTTCACGTATTTGGCGCCGTCGAGTTGTTACTTTGTGTTTGCCTGGCTGGGATCGACTAATTGGAATTATAGTGAACATTTTTGTACACGGGCTTTTCCTCTTTTAACGGTTAAACAAAGTTTCTCCCACGTAGTTCAGATTGTCAATAAAAACGCGTCCCACATAACGTTTAATGTTTCGACGAGAGATTCAACCGAAATTCAAAAATCATCGCACGAAGACCACTTTAAGATTTTTGTGCTAGGCGTATTTGAAAAAGATCAAAATGTTACAAGTGAACACTTTTTTCACAATGTATTTACAGCAGATTTGAAACTCTGCCACATGAACCCAGGAGTCTTCTACATCAACGATCACATCGCAGATTATCGACGGATCGGCTTTTACACAATTGACAGATCAGACCTGATGAATAATTATAAAGCTATAACCTTAAACAAGTTGCTGCTAAATGAAACAAGATTTGAATATCATTTGTGGATTGGTCACATAATATTTATTGATGGTGCAATCGACATTTATTTTTCAAAAATAGTTGATATACAGCATTATGCATCCACCTATAAAGAAGCTGTTGCCGATCTTAATGTTCATTTCATGTTCATCGTTCCTGTCATCGTTGCTGTTCTTATTATTGTTGCGCTAACTTCCTTTCTGCTAATCAGATGGAAGATGAATGTCCCATTTAAACTCATAAATTCAAATGAAAATAATACTTTCCATCAATCATCGACATACATGTGCGACTTACTCCACGACAGGAAAAACTTCAAAACACTGGAAGAAGAATTTTATTCGTTGCAAAAACCAAATCCACAACCAGAATGTTTGATTGCGTCGTTACCGGAAAATCTTTCAAAAAACAGGTACAAAAATTATTTTCCATTTGATCAGAATAGAGTTGTTCTACCACCGGCTTGTTGCTCTCAAAGTGATTACATAAACGCCAGTTTCATATCCACCTTGTATCACTTCAACAAATTTATCACGGCACAGTGCCCTCTTCCCAACACTGTTGAAGATTTTTGGACGATGATTTGGGTTAACAAAATTTCAATTTTAATTTTACTGGGAAATTTTGAAGAGACCTTTTTTTTCAAATACTGGCCCAAAAATTTAAAAAAAGAAGTGAAGTATAATTCTATGAACGTCAAACTGTTGTCTGTCGTACAAACGAGTCCTTTGTCGTTTCAACATATCTTTAAGCTTCAAAAAGGGAATGTTCAACTTGCTCAAACAGTTGAACAATGGTCTTACTCATCTTGGACTCCTGAATTGTTGCCAGGAAATTTTGAAAGTTTTTCAAGTTTTATAATGACATTAAAAATTATATTTAAAACGAACAAAAGTCCGGTGGCAGTTGTATGTGATGATGGCAGTCAGAAGTGCAGTCTTTTCCTGGCGACAGTAGAAGCCACAAACCATCTGGCGAGGCGTGGTGTGGTGGATATTCCAAACATCGTCAACAAGTTACGCTCCCAGCGTGCTCACTCAATTGATTATTTCGATCAATATTGTACTATTTACGAAATTTTGCATCAATTTATTAAATCTGGATATTTCAACTGAATTAATACTAAATATTTTTTTGTTTTTTCATTTATACTTAATAACATGTTTGAAATAATCAGCCGTTTAAAAATATGCGTTGTGTGTTAATATTCATCAAATAGTGCTGAACCAAAATTACTTGTGCAAATTTTTAGCAAACGATTTCTATACTAACTAAATAAATAATCACAATATATATTATAGGTATTTCATCTTATATATATATATATATATATATATATATATATATATATATATATATGTATATATATGAACATAATATATAATGGTGTAATATTACATAAAATATGTTTTGTCGTTATAAAATGCTGCTAACTTTTGATACTGTTTGAGTTGAGTAGACGCATGTGCATAGTTGGTGAACCTTGATAAAGACTTCGAGAGGCAAGTTGACGGTTTAAAATTAAGTTTATTAACATTGTGCTTATATTTTCATCGGTGATAATAATTTAGAAACAAAGATTTTAATTTTATTAAAAAGATTAATGTTTTTTTGTAAAATGTCATTTAGTGTGAAATGTCATTTTCTCGTTTTTTGAATCAGTGGTCATTAGATAGAAATTAGCATTAGAATTAGATTAGAATCTAATCATTAATAATTTATTGGAATATTATGCTAATTTACATTTGTTATAGTTAAAAGTGAAGAAAACAAAAAGTCAAGCAATTGTAAGCCAGTAAGTGCAAAGACAGCCGTAGCTCCACTAAGACTAAGGCCCAACCAACAAGCTGAAAAAGATGTCAACTCAATATGTTATTTCTAAGGTTGCTGGCAAAATTCATAAAATTCTACTGAATCGACCAACCAAGATGAATGCCATGACTTTTGAGGTGAGCTTTCGTTACCTTGTTATTCAAATTTAATTAATTTGTCATCTACTTTATGTTTCTGATTAGTATTTTTATATTATTTTTAGCTTTGTTGTGTACAAAATTTTATCTTTCATTTAATATGCAACACATTTTTTAAGCTCTGGTAAATAATTCAACAAAAAAGTGATTCAGAAAAAATGGTTTCAAATATTTTTTATTTCTATTTATGTTTTATAATGTATTAATATTATTTATATATTATATAATTGATTTTATATATAATTATATAATATTTGATAATGCATTCTTAATGTTTTATCATCAACACAAATGAAGATGTACGAGTCAGTGACTAATGCTTTAAAGGAGGCTGCATCCAACGATACCACAATTGCTGTTATAACTGGTAGGACTGTTTTTGTTTCATTACTGTTGCTACTTTATTACTTTTTAAGATTGAAGTCAGTATTGTCATTCAACTGAACTGTTGCTTGTTGTTTACTTTCTGCTTAAATCTTTGCTTAGTTTTATTGTTGTTCTATAACTATCATATTTCTATAGTTTTCATAGTGTAAACATAGAGGTTTAAAAATTTACAAAAGTGCAATATAATTTAATTTGACATTGATTCATTCAAACTGGAACAACTATTATAAAATTTAGATTACAATAATAATAATTATTATTATAAAAATAATGAAATTATAAAAATAAAATATAATATTTGAATCTTAATTTTTTTGATTGTGATCTCTATGCTGTTATCTTAGTTACTTGGAAATTGAGATTTGTTTCAAAGTAAGCTTGATAAATACTCATTTCAATGAGTTGATTCCAAAACATGCCAATAAAAAGTTTTCAAATTAGAATATTGCAAGCAAAAGAGAATCAAACTTCATTATTTTTGTGTTTATAAATTTAATGGTTCTTTTTTTATTTCAGGATCAGGTAAATATTTCAGCAGTGGTAATGATCTTTCAAATTTCAGCAAAATTGGTTCAACAGACATAAGCACATTTGCTCAGCAGAGTGGCCAACTACTCAAGTCCCTATTAATTTTACGTTTTTTTTAATTTGTTGTAGTGGAATGAAAAAATTTTCGATTTTGCTATTCAAACATTTCTCACAAACCTCCAACTGAACTTAAAAATAATCATTACAGAAAGTTTGTTGATGGCTTCATTGACTTTCCCAAACCACTGTTGTGTCTGGTCAATGGTCACGTGGTCGGCATATGGGTGTCTGTCCTGGCGCTCTTTGATGGGGTCTACTGCACCAAAGATGTATAGTTTCGAGTTTTTCATTAATTTTTTTTTTATCAGCAATTCATTGCTCATGGTTATTTAAAAGCGATTTCATGGTCTGGTCATTAAATCTCCAAGCAATTTCTTTCATTGAAACATTCATATCATCACAAACGAAGGCCACATTCCACTCTCCCTTCTCCCTCCTTGGTCAGACGCCCGAAGGATGCAGTTCTTATACATTTCCTCGTCTCATGGGAGCTGCCAGGGTATGAAAATCGTTTCATTAAAACAGTTTCATTAATCATTTTGCTAACTTTAGAAACCAGTCACAACCAAATTTATTTTTCTCTTCACTATGTAACCACCGTTACAAGGCCAACGACATACTGATGTTCAACAAGAAGTTATCAGCAGAAGATGCGCGGAGAGATGGGTTGGTGACTGAGGTGTACCCCAGCGAGACATTCGAGGCTGACGTTTGGAAGAAGGTCGAAGAAATATCAAACCTCTATCCACAGGTAGGTTGTACAACAATCGTGCGTTTTTGAGCACTTGTGTACTGGATGGTAACAAGATTAGTACGAGTGCGTCTGTAGTGAGATTTAAATTTGTGTGTGCCTGTGTCTTCGAGTGCACGTGTGCAAATTTTTTGCATGATTTGGATGCATCAATTACGTCGCTTGTCATAATTATGTAGGCATATATTAATTAATAATGGTTATGCTTTAGTAATACGCTATGTTTTGCTAAATTATATTGTCACGTTACCTACCTACCAGTTGAATGGTTTCATGAAGGGTTAACATGCTCTCAAATGTTACGTTTGGCTTTATCAATTCTTAGTCATTGATATATTTTTGCTTTAGTAGTAAATTTATCGGTCCTTGTGTTTACATATTTGTACATTCATATCAACCTTGAATTTATTAAAACTTGTATTTTTTACAGATAGAATACCTTACTTACATTATAGTCGTTATTATGTTATAACTTATAATTATGCCCACGCAGACGTTGAGAGACGCAAAATTTCTAGTGAGGAATGCCATTAAGGAGAGGCTTCACCAAGTGAATGAGATTGAATGTGACGTGTTGGTCAAGAGGTGGCAGTCCGAGGAGTGCATGGAGGCCATCGTCAACTTCATGACGAGAAAGTCTAAAATGTAACGCTTGCCTGATGTTAACCAGCCAATAAGAAAATTTATTAACTAACATCGTGCCTGTGTTAAACGTCATGCTGTATTGTTATCGTTATATTATTTTGTATGATATAAACTGTAGTGTATTATCGTGAGGATGTAACAAGAGCGCTATAAAAATAATAATAATCAGTAATAATGTATCTTTAGCGTATATAATCATGACTAACCAGATACCAAAGTATCGGAGTCGGAAATTTTTGCCTGAGTCGGGAATTTTTTGATAAGCCTCACCAGAAACTAAGTAATGCCAGAGTATACACCCATCACTGAGTGTGATAATCATATGAAATACTCAATAGAAACATTCAATAACCTTAATAATTAACCCACCTCTGATTTTTTTAAAGATTAGGATCAATTTAAATTGATATTATGATGAAAATATTCAAATATTCAAAATGCAGTAACCGTGTTTAAAATAATAAATTCCATCATGTTATGAAGATCTCCTAAGTATATGTGTTATTATGCAGTTATAAAGCTATAAAGCAGCCATAAGAATTATTATTCGTATTGAATTAGCTCAACCAGGATCGTTTTTATGCAATAATCAACTTTATAACTGCATATTCAATCACACACACACATATATATATATATATACATACATAAATGTATAGTTGTATACAAATAATACACACACGTACACACACACATATATCATATTGAATTCATTTCATGTCTGTATGTAAAAAAAACTGCTAACATGCTTCAATTGTTACCTTCAATAAACAAAGCGAAGGTGACATCTTGAAAAAAAAAAAGCTTATTCAGTAATAAATAGAACATGTGCACTTAAGGTACATATATATGATTACAAATAGACATATATATATAATATATATATATATATACATATATATACACATATATGTAAAGTAATCTATATATTAAACCTGCATAATTTTTCTTAAAAATAAGTGTGACATGCATACATCACATGGGTTTATATACCATTTATATATACACTTGTAGATGAACTCTAATATTACACACACATATAGATAGATAGATAGATATATACACATGTGTATACACATATATATGTGATACACGTGGTATATATATGGTGTTTTATTTTATGTATGTATGTATATATGGCCAGTATATTTACAGACAATATGCTGTAAATGTAATAATTGATAGCACAGTGAAATTGATAAGCCAAAAAATTTTATTTAACAAAAAGCAAACGACAGATGATAAATTTATTAGACAGGCAATATGCGACGAATTTGATTAACTGACAAAATGATAAATAATAATTGTAACAATTAAATAATATTGCCCAATTAATGTGTTAATTATATATTAATTAATTAATTAAAACAATTTAATAAATTCACGCATGTCAGAGTATGTTTGAGTGATTTATGGAATAAATCAATATTATCCAGTTGATCAGTCAGTACCCCAAGATTAAATGAATCAACGCATGAATGTAATTATTTAATTGATCAATTAATTAATCAATTTTATAAGTAATAAATGTATTATTTGATGAAAAATCGATTCACAATGAAATTAAACAATTTGATTACACGGTACCTACTCTCTGATCATCAGCATCCAGGCTTCGTACGGTTTG